CCAGTGGCAGTTCCAGTGCTGTCGGTGGCAGCTGCTGGGCGTCCCTGTGGATGCACAGCAGCGGTCATCACATGCACCGGCAAATTGATGGACATCACATTGGGCACATTGAACTCCAGACGCAGATCCGTATCGTTTGTGGCGCTATTAACCACAGCCTGTATCAAGCGAGCCATCTGCACGTGCGGATCTGCAAGCAGGCGAAGAAGTGTTACAAAAAAGGAATACAAAAATAAAACAAAAGCGGTGCTCCAGGAGGTCAAGGGGTGCTCCAGGAGGCATTTAGTAGAGCAACAACAAGAGGAACACAACAAATTAGGGCTTGATTTTGATTGATTTTCAGTTAGAAGCGGATGCGCGCAGTGGAAGCATGATTAGAATTCAACGGAAAGCGGAGCGTAAGAAAGGCGAAGGGATTGGACCTACTGGGCGGTGGCATGGGCACGGGCATATACAGGCGAAACCTGGGCCTGGGTGCTGCAACGCCCTCAGCTAAATGCTGCTCGCGCTCATCTGGAGAAGATCGACGGGGGATTAGTTAAGAGAGGTTTTCTTTCCGTGCAGTTGCTTTTGCATCTAATCATAATTGGGACTTACCCATTTCGCCCACTTCGGGACGTGGCTGCGGCTGGGCGCCAGCGGCTGCGTTGGCAGTTGTTGGCGCCACCATGGGCTCATCCACGGGATCCTCGACATTGTCGTTGTTGCGCGTCATAAGGCCAGCGACGACAGCAGCTGCAGCATCTGCCTCAGCCACGCCAGCGGCCATTGAGTCATCGCTAGCGACAGGCTCCGGTTCAGTTTGTGATTGTGTTGGAGTTGTGGCTGCTGCGCCGGCACGTGGCAGAGAAGTTCCTCTTGGAAACGCAAAAGCGCGTGCATAGAGCTCATCCATTTGCTGCTGCTCGCTGGGCGGGTTCTGCGTCTGATCCGGAGCGGGAGCTGCGGCGGCAGCAAGTGGCACGGGAACAGCTGCTCGGACAGCGCGCGCGTATGTGTCCAGTTCCAGCTGCTGTTCCATGCTCAGCTGTTCCGGCTGCTGTGTGGCAACTGCAGCTGTGGCCGCACTCGAAGCGGCGCCCTGGGCCGGCGGCACCTGGGCGATGAGCTCGGCCAGCGGCGTGGCCACCAAATTGGGCGTGAATATGTTGTTCGAGCGTATGTAGCCGCTCTGCTCGACGAGTATGGGCCGGCAGGTGAGCACGCGCGGACCGGGCTGCGACAGGTCCAGCATCAGATCCGAGATGGCGTGCTGGGCATGGGACAGATAGTGTAAGGCTTCCGAGACGCGATCGTAGATCCGCTGGGCATTCTCGCGGCCAGCCGTGTCCTGCTCCTCGAAGTTGGGATCCTGCTGCAGTATTTCGTAGTAGCGATCCAGGAAGGGCGACAAGCGCGTCTCCACGCTGCGATAGCGCTGGAAGACGCTCGCCAGCACCTGGGGCCGGGTCCGGCGGCGTGGACCAATGCCTGCTGCCGCTGCATTCGTGGCATTGTCCTCGGCAGCTCCTGCAGCAGTTGCTGGCGCTGATCCTGTTGCTCCATCAGTTTCTTGTGGCGAGCTGGAACGCTCGTCTTCGCCTGGCGGCGTGCCAGCACCCTCAGCAGCCTCGTCGTCCGTCTCGATCACATCCTCAATGATGACCGCAGCAGCGGCTGTCGTCTCCTCGCTGGTATCGCTGCCAGCCACGGCGCCGCTGGTGGCGCCTTCGCTGCTGCCGCCGGCCTGGGTCGAGCGCTGCTGCTGCTGCTGCTCGCCCTCCTCGTTAGTGTACACCGTGGGCAGCTGCACCACGGTGTAGTTGCGCCCGGGCGTGTTGCGGGAGAGGGCCGCAGTGACCGCATCCTGCACCATGTCGATGATGTTATTGTTGCGCGGCAAGTCCGTCGAGGAGACGCCGACCTCGACCACAGTGGACTCCATGGTCCAGTGACCGCGTTGCAGTATATCCAACGGCTGATTATTCAGACCGATTTCCGGATTCTCCAGATATGCGGCTATATTGTTGGCACAGTCGATCATGTGCTGGGCAACGGTAATGCGGTTAATGCAAAAGGACGACGAGTTCGGAAAGCGATTCGGTGGTGTCCGTGCCTGCAAGCGATTGCAACAGAGATAAGACAAGGAAACGAGCAGGCATGCGGTCTAAGACTTACTCCGGCAGCGGTCAACGGACCGTTGTTAACGGGTATGGCCATGGTGCCGACCAGCATGCCATCGAGTGCCCGGAAGTATGGTGCATTGCGCAAGTTGCGCGGCGTTGGGCGGCCGGGCATGCCGCGAAAGCCGCGCATCGGCTCATCGTTGTTGGTGGCGTTGGCGCCGCGCTGCGAGAACGGCGGACGCTCGGCAACGTGCAGCACCTTGCCGTCCACATCTGGCAGAGGGCGGAACAGGTCAGGGCATTAATGATTGTGTCCACGACTGTCTGTGCAGATGACTCACCGTATTCCTTGACCTGCTTGTCATCCGCCAGCACGCGACCCTGGTAGATGATGCGCTGGTTCTCCGCGGCGATGTTCGTCTTCTCCGCAATCTGTTCCTTGAACTGGCGTATGGTTAACTGTAAAAAAATTGACCAAAGAAAAGCGGTTTTGGAAGCTTCTGGTCAAACCACAACCTCAAAAAAAAAAAAAAAAAATATCGCACACGCACACACACATGCACACTTACCTCATTGTCGATGCTGAAGTCGTGTGTGCGAGCATCTAGAGTTTTCACCTTTAGGTTTATTAACATTTTTTCGGCCGTCTGTATCGTAATTAGCCCGTGTTGTCAATTGCGGCGCAAATGCTGTTCAATTAGTTTCTTTTGACTGCAAAAAAACTTGAAAACAGACGGCTGGCTAGCTGCTGGCTGCCAACGGGAACGGCGCGGGTGGAAGAAGAAAATCGGTGCCGTGCCGATGTGCGATGGCTATCGTTGTGTCGTTTCTGCCAATCGAATCGCATTCGCGTTCGCATTCGGATTTGGTTTCGGATTCGGATTCGCCCTTGCTCCCGCTCTCTCTCTCTCTCGCTCTTTCTCTTTTTGCGCTGTGTTTTCCAATCCGGTGTAGCCAAGTGTGCGTTTTTTTTTTTCTTCTTGTTTTATTTTGATTTTTGTTTGATTTTTCTTGCGATTGCGAATCGTCAAAGCCGCTATGTCGCAATTGCACCGTCTGCCAGGCGTTTTTCAAGCAACTAATTCGAAATATATATCAGGTAAATTTTGACAAACAATTACACAAAAATAGCTAGCGGCTGCGACTGAGAATTCTTAACTTCTGCTTTTACAAAATATACTGTATACAATTTGTTTGGAATTTACCAAATTGGTATTAAAAATTAAAACAATACGGGCACATTACTAAAATATTGCACATCAAACGATACATCGACCAGCTGCCAACTATCGTTTGCTCGTTTAAATAGTCTGGCAAGGCTCTCCTGTTAAGCTGACACTTGGCGCGCATATTTGAAAATATTTTCAGAGCAACTAGATAGTTTCCAAGCATCTGGCAAGCCTGTCGTTGTGCTGCAGCCCTAGCATGCCACCACTTGGCGCGAAAGTCTTGTATATTTGAATACACATTCAGCGCATTCGCGTTTATTATTCATTTTCTACACATGTGCACAAGTAAAATGTTTACTTGCACGTCCATAAAAACACTTGACGTGCTCACCGCATATATTAACCCAACCGCGGGCCAAAGGTAACCCGCCCGGGCTCCTTTGCGACGTCGGCTTTGAGTTGCATCCTGTGGGAATTTTTTTGGGCACTGCACACACACACACACACACGCACACACACACGTAGCAAAAAAGGCGCCGCATGAATAATAAGAAATAAACCAGGCAAAGCAAAAGGTGTAGAACAACTTTTTGCTTTGAATATTTAAGTGGCAGAGCCGCAGCGGAAAAGGGAGTTGAACTGGGGCTAACACAATTTTTCTTATACCCCAAGAAATGTGCGGAAATGTGATTTAATGTCGGCGATTGTGAGTTCCACAGGCTCAAAATGATTGCCGAATATTTTTGGTTAAAGGGGCATAAATTGTGCAAAGATGAAATGCTTAAATAGAGAAGACTTTAATATATCTATAATTGCTTTGTAAGGCTTATAAATATTATTATTATAATATTTATTTATAATTTATTTGGAACATTTTGTCAGTGCGGCAATATTTAATAATTTGTACACACTTTACTTAACGCCTTGCAATTTACAAATTGCTTTTAAATGGGCTGTGAAAAAGTTTTAATGAGTTTTCGACACTTCGCGCCACGCCCTCTAAGCAGCAGCCCCGCCCCCTTCTGCCACCCTTCCCCAACTCTGTTTATGCATTTTCATTTTAATTTTCATTATCTTTTCTTTTTTTTTCCGCCCGTTTTTCTATTTGTTATGAATATTTTCATGTTTTGCCCCACAAAACTTGGTGCTGACAGTGTTGCAAAGGGCGCCAAATGTGAGCATGACGCCTTCGCTGACATTTCCCTGAGAATGTCACCGAGCGAAAAAAAAAAAACATAATAAAAAAAAGCAATAATTGCTTGGCAGTTGGTTTCTTTTTTTTTTTTTTTGAGGGGAGGGACTTAATGAAATTATATCAATCGGGAGATCAGCCACCCTCTAAATTATATATTGTTGTTGTTGTTGTTGTCGTGCTTCTGGCAGCTGGCAAATGACTTTTACTTTTGTTATTGTTAATATTTTCATTCATGAAATTTGAATTTCAACGCATTGAATGTAACTTGTAATCATTGCTTGGCCAACTTTTTCGATTTTCCCCGAAGCTTTTCCAGGCATTTTCTCATTTCACGTGGCGGTCAAGAGCGGGCAGTGCAGCTCCAAAGTCTCACGTCAAATTAAATCAGGCTATAATATAAAGAAAATTGAAGCCAACTCCCTTTTGTGCCATAACACACATACAGCCAAAGGGCAGGGGAAGGGGCGTTGGGCGGGGGGTGCGGCACATAAAGCTGGCGCAGGGGTTGCTTGTGTCTAAGGCCAAGACAGAGGGCAGCTGATTGGCAATATAACACCCGGGAAACCAAAACGCGGCATTAACCCCAAAGAGAGCGGCTATTTCTGCATGGGAAAGTATTTAAAAAAAAAATATATGTATGTTTCAGCTTTAACTTGTTGAGAATTGCAACGGATCAATCAACGAGATTGAGCAAAGTGACCAAAGCAAAAGAAAATGGTGTTAAATAAAGACACATAGCTCACATAAGGGTTAAGATGAGAGCCCTTTGCAATGACAGCCTTAACTTGTTGAGAATTACAAAGGGTCAACCAAAGAGATTGAGCTAAGCTTAAAAAATAATATGAATAAATATAAGATGTTATACACAAAAACTAGAAGTCTATAAAATGGGGTCAAATGTAGACACACAGCTCACACAAGGGTTAAGATGAGGCTAAATTATAAGTGTGTGTGTGTGTGTTCGTGTGCTTGTGTGTGTGTGTGTGTGTGGTTGGCTAGTTGGTTGGCTGCAATATGCTTTACGGCTCATACTTGTAATTGCTGGTAAATAATTTCCAGTTGCAAGTGGCAATTGCATTGGCCTCATAAATATCGCCAACTCGGTCGAGAACTAAAAGCCGAACCGCAAAATTTATAGTCAACACTTAATCTAAGCTGTCAATGCGCCCGCAACAGCAGAAACACAACAACAACAATGGAAACAATGGCAACTAACGTAATTGCAGCACATTACGACAATACGTAAAAGTGGCACAGTTGTTGACCAACACTGGCAAGCACACACACATACAGTCGCACATACAGTCGCATATGTGTGCGCGCAGAGAAGTCGTAAAGTTTTAGTTGCATTCAGCCTTCCTACGTTTTCGTCTTCATTTTCGTTTTCGTCTTTGACTTTTAATTTATGTTTCAATTCCAATTAGCAGACGAGGCGCGTGGAGCTTTTATGCGAGTCCCGTTAATTGACTTTCGGCCTGGCGCTGGCGCGTCATTTGTAATTGTATACAATAGAGAGAGTGGGAGAGTGGGAGAATGGTGGAATGGGAGAGAGCGCACGTGAGTGTGGGCGAGATCGGGAGAGTGAGGTTAAGTGGCCAATGCAGCTAATTGAAGTTCAAATTGTGCTCGGGCATTGGGTAAGGCGCTTAGCCAAGGAAACCGTTCAAATGCTGCACACACTTGCACACACATACATACTTGAGTGTGACCAGGCGAGCAAAAAAAAAAATGGCAGACGAAGACGAATTCACAGCAAATTCACTTAAGCGACGTAAAAGCAACTAAAGCCAATTTAACAGTCAATACAAAGGCAGACACACACACACACACACACACACACACATGCACACTAAGGCAGTTAAGCGCCCACACAAGCGCATGGCAATTGTAAGGCAAACGGAAATAAAATCAAGCATAAATGCAATAATACAATTTATGTGCCAAATTTCATAAGAGCCATAATGGACTCACACACACACACACACTCGCACACACACACACACAAATCAAGCAAAAGTCATCAACAAACAAAGGTGACTCCTTGCACAAAAGTTGAACGTAATCGTAATCACGTTTGTGTTCCCAAGATTCTGAATGTTGATGCTATTTATGTGTCATTTTCATTGCGCAAAACTTTTGCAGACGGTCAAGGCAACAATGTGCCCGAATTTCTACTTGAAAACGGACTCTGCTTCTTAATGCTACTCCACTCCCTTGCCCCCCGCTTGCTGTCTTTCGCAAGTTAACAACATTTGCTTTACGTTTGCCAATTGGATTATAACTCAATTGTAGTTGAGCGATTTTGTTGGTATCGAATGGAAGTATCGAATGGACTGCTTTACTATTCGAGTGCCGGGCTATTGAGTAGGCAACAATAGCAAAAACTTGCATTCAGCTGCGGCAAGCGTAACAACACAAAACTATACGAAGTGTTAATACCCTACAAAATGTTGCATGTAAGTAAGTTGTCAGAACTGTAAATTCAATTCCTAATAAAAATGTTTATAAAAAAATTGACAATTTTTGCTGCTTGATTTGAGCCAGCAACTTCTCGCTCGGTAGTTCGACGCTTAGCAAGCTAAGCTAAGGCATACTATAAAAAAGATGTCTATAAAAGAATTCGGCAATTGTTACTGATTGATTTGAGCCAGCAACTTCTCGCACGCTGGTTCAACGCTCAGAAACACAGAAAACTAAGGAACCTATACGAAGGAGCCTTATCGATTCCATTTTAGAGGTTAGTAAGTGTCTAATAGGAAAAATAAAATACGCAATTCCAATAAGATTGAAGTATGACAATTAAGAAATTTCAAGGCAATTTCTTAATATGATGCAAGTTGATATAAAAATGTAAGAAAATATGCTCAGAAAATAAAATTAAATGCCAACTAGATTTCCAAATGTGACCAATAAGAACTTTTAAGCAAATACCTGAAAGGGAATTTTCGGTTTGTGAATCCATTGTTGTGATGCTTTGGCCCAGATATCCGCATGTCGGAGTAAGTGCCACAAAGACAGCTCGAAGCAGTTGAGCTCGTGCTCGTCGAGATGCATTAACAATTTGCCGGGCTTAATGCATCTCCGATGGGCCATAAATTGTGCTGGCTTTTATATTTTGGGGCATGGTCAGCGCTTGAGGGCACTTCAGCGGCCAGGTAGGCGAGATATGTGGAGCAGGTGAGCCGAACAATTGTTGCTTGTTATGCAATATGGGCAATAAGTGATCCAGTGACACGCCCTCCATTTGCTGTCACATTGTGTTGGTCAAATTGATTTGCCACGATCTCGAGATAGACAAATGGATTTATGAAAGTCACGCCGCAAACTGGGCCAACGCATGAGTAATCGACCGGGCCACAGTGCGTGGAGCATGGTGCGTGCTGCGTGGTGCTTTTACCTATTTATAAGACTGGACTGAAGCTAGAAAATAGCAACAGTTGATCGTCGACTTCTTTTACAGCTTCAACATGGCACACCAAATCCTGGCACTGAGCTTGCTGCTCCTCCTCTCGCCCGCCTGGGCGGGCATCAGCTATCTGGGCGATGAGCACGCCGTGGCGCATACACAGCAGAATGTGGTCAGGAGCTACGATGGCACCGTCTCGCACTATGCCAAGTCGGTGGCCACGCCCTACTCCCAGGTGCACAAGCAGGACACGCGCATCAGCAACAATGTCTATCAGCCGGCCATTGCTAAGACTCTCAGCTATGCCGCTCCAGCGTCCGTCTCCGTAGGCTATGCATCGCATCAGCCCACGCTCTTCACCCAGGCAGCTCCAGTGGCTCCCGTCTACCACCACCAGCAGCAGCAGCACATTCCGGCTGCCCAGGCCAGCTATGCCAGCCATCAGCCCGTCGTGGTTCATTACTCGCCCGCGGAGACCGTTTCCCACATGAGCTTCGATGGATTCGGCACCCATTGGGGCTACTAGACTGGTTTTTTATTGTTTGTTCGACTATGTTTAAGAGCTTACAATAAAAGATATTCTTAATATATGAGCAGAAGTAACTAGAGACTTTTGAGGTTGCTGAACAGAAAGTTGCGGGTTCGAACTTCTCGTAAAAATATAATCCCTAAAAATAGAATACCCCTATATTATAATGCTCAGCTTAAGCTTGATAAGTGTTGCTCTCTTTATCAATAAATAAAATGAGAAAAGTCTTTTAAGCTTCGCTTGATGTGGAAGACGAGGTTCGAACCCTTTTGGACCTTAAATTTAAGATTTTGCGTGTCAAAAGAGTTGCTAGATAATATTACGGATTCTATTTATCTATATCTTTTCTCACTTTTCTAGATTTCAAGAGCCAGAGAAACTCTTTGAAGAAAACTTTCAACTACTAAAGGTTGAAAGAAATCTTGATAGACGAGGTTCGAACCCATTTGGACCTTAAATTTAAGATTTTGCGGGTCAAGAGCGACATTTTGTATTATTATGGGTTTGTCTAGCTTCATGGATTGAAAGATAGTTTGGGAAGCTTATTAATTTCTAAGTTTTCTATATTTCATAAATCAGAGAAACCCTCAAAATCCCCCATAGAAAATCTAATTATGATGTTATATATATTTAATTTGCTTAACCCAGCCTCAATCTGAGTTCATAGTTTCCTCACATTTGGCTCACGTCTTCGTGTTGGTGGCTAAACAAATCATAAAAATCCACACAAAGTGCACTACAAATAGCCTCAAGTAGGACATTAGAACGTTGTTGTGTTAATGCCACGCCCACACGACAGCAAAACGCCCCTGGAATGGTCGGGTTACGTGATTTGTGCAGCGCAAACTTAAAAATCGGACATGAACGCTACGTGACCCGCATAGGAAGTGCTTGAGGAGCGGCAAAGGACACAGCATCAACTGAACTAATCGGATTTTTATTTTCGATTTCTTTCTCTCTTTATATTTTTTGTTTTTCCGTTCTCGTTATAAATTATGCACATTGACAATTGCATGGAGCCAACCTGGCGCTCTTGAGGGTCATAATCTATAAATTGAAATCACATTTTTGCTAGCTCATTAATTTTGCAGCTCACAATTGCGAAACTTGAGGCCAGGCGGGCCAAAAGTCAATTTCGGCATCAAGTTCTTTTCAGCTCATCAGTTGGCCATAAATGATAGCTCCATTAGATGGCAATCAGCTGAAGAGGACTGCAAATTGTTCAATTGAAATGTGCCCGCAGGCTAATACGCAAAACTATGCAAATAAATTTATATTTGAATAGCCAGAAATTGTGTGCCACAAGCTACCAAGAGTAATTGGTTTAGCTGGTAAGAAGTAGCTGGTAAATAGTAGCTGGTAAATTGAAGTTGATAAAAACTAGCTGATAAGAAGTAGATGCTAAATAGTAATTGTAAAAATGTAACTGTTAAAATGTGACTGGAAAAAATGGCTAGTAAAAAGTAGCTGGCAAAAAGTAGCTGGTAAGAAGTAGCTGGTAAAAAGTAGCTGGTAAATTGAAGTTGGTAAAAACTAACAGATAAGAAGTAGATGCTAAATAGTAATTGTCAAAATGTTACTGTCAAAATGTAACTGGCAAAAGTGGCTGGTAAAAAGTAGCTGGTAAATAGTAGCTGGTAAGAAGTAGCTGGTAAATAGTAGATGGCAAATAGTAACAGCTAACGAACTTGGAGATTTTTAAAATATGTGAGATCCTTTGTAAAATACGTAAAAGCGGACTCCGATCAAGATATCTTATAAAACAAAAGTTCGTCTTATAAGAACCTTGTTTTGGACCGATATATCAAAGGAAAGCTATATGATATAGTGGTCCGATATGGACTACATTTTGCGCTTATGTAACATATTTCTTATGGTAAGGATCAGATTAGTGTGTCGATTCCGGCCGAATCCGACATATGTGACAAGAAGGACTGTTCAAGCCTTAAGACTATTTAGCATGGCAACAGAAATTGATCAAGAATATATATATACATATAACTTTATGGCATCGGAGACGTCTCTTTCTATGTCTTTCACATAAATAATACCCTTCAGAAAAAAAAGGAGCAAAATGTTGCCATAAACAGCGCTTAAATGCAACAGTCAGCGACTGCAAGTTGAGCCAGCAGCAGGAGCAGCAGCTGGTCCTGCCTCTGGCTGAGGTCCTGGCTCGCCACTTGACTGCGAAAAGGCGCAATGATAAAATATTTGCGCCGCCAAGTAAATTGTTGGCTGAAACTTGGCTGGCAAAAAAAAAAAAAATGAAATGAAATGAAGAAAGGCCGGAGTGTGGTTGTTGTTGTTGTTGTTGCTGCTGTTGTTTTGGCCATGTTGTTGTTTGGCTGTTGCGGCCAAAGTTGAGTGGCAACAACAGCGCCGCGCGCTCGTCCTTAGCCACATGGCCCATGGCCCAGCGAAAGGAAGTTGAAAAAAAGTTGAAAAATAAAAATGCAAAATGCCCAGTAAGACGTATTTATCAACATAATTACATTTTTTAATGGCTTTTTAAACCGCAAAATGGCCAAAGCCAAAGCAAACTGAGATAAAAGTAGAGCATAAAACTAGCAGATATAGTGGCAAGTCGCTTTATCAGCAGCTTTGTTGTTGCCGCTCTGCCACGTCTTGGCCGGCTTGTGCAGCCCATGAAAAATGTTTGAAAAGTGCCAACGTTAACTCAATTAGCCGTTTCAGCGAATTGCAATAGCTTGTTGCCCCGACTGATAACTGAAAGGGCTGGCTAATAAGGGCACATGCATGTGCAATGTGTGTGCCGGCGGCTGGTTCGAACCTGTCATGCCTAGTCTGTTCCTAGTCTTTGTCTGCCATAAAAGCTAAGTCAGGTCTGATTCCTAATTGAGTAAAGCATAGTTTCATATATAAAATATGCTTTTTGATATATTCCAACCGGGTTTGAACCGCGTCGTTTCGAGCCCAAAATTCTCATGAATCAAAGCAATTGTCCAAAAGCCAGACAAAGCGTAAAGCAAGCCAAACATGTTTTGGTTTATAATTAATATTATTATTAATAAAAATAAAAACCTTTAATGGATATTCAGAAGCAAAGCATTAATAACTTTAGCCCCGAACTAACTATAATAAATAAAGGCAAATGTTGGTTAGATAATTAATTTAGCCCGCATTTTGTAAATGAAAATATTTACGGCTTGCAATATATTTTCAGTACAATGGGGCATTTGTTAATAACAAATTTTAACTTTTTTACTTTTGGATATAAAAATGCACATAATATATAAAAAAAACTATAGTTTGAACCAGAAACTTGGTTCTAACTAGCGGAGAACCAGTCAAAAGGCAGGGAACTGCTTCACAGAACCAGCAACTACTTTTATTTTGGTTTGCAATTCTGATAACAACATTTTAAAAGTTTATACTATTTTCAATATCATGCTCAACACACAAGACATTATGCCCGCTAGATGAAGTACGGGGTATTCAAACAAAGGCGCAAAGTGCAAGGCAGGGAAATACCCAGACAATGCATTGTATCTATGGGCAACAAGTGTGGCACGCACTTACTCTGCATAAAAACGAGTATATTGTAATTGTTTGAAGCTTTTGCAACTCATGCAACCAAGGCAACAGCACCATAACATATTTCGAGAGAGTGCGAGGGAGAGAGAGAGGGAGAGAGTTCAGGCAAATTGGCATGAACAAAAAGCATTAAGAGATAGTGGAATTATTTTGAAGGTATTACTCAATAATATTATGGCAAATGCTTTAAATTATAGGAAAGGCAAGAGAGCGGGCGAGAGAGCGTGCGTCATACATAAAAGGAGAGAGGAAGAGATAGAGAGAAAGAGAGAGCTGATCGCGCAGATTGTAAACTGAACATCGAATCGACAGAATTCAGTCGTTGTTTGTCATTTCGAGAGAACGTTTCTCATTTTGTTGCAACGAAAAACCGCAAAGTTTGCGCTTGCGAAACGGGTTTACTTATTTCTTCAGCGCACACACACACACACGCACATGCATATAAGCACATGCACATGTGACGTCATGAACGCATTCCCATTGGCTACTCGAGGCTTTTTCGAATGGCGTTTAGTTTGGCGCGCAACTGTGTAAAATGCGAAGAATCGATAACACGCGGCTTTTCGCTCTGTGCGCGCTACTCGTATCGATAGCTCAGTTTGATCGATCGCTGGCCTTTGGTGCCTCGCGTCTGGAGGCGTTCAAGCAGCGGCTGCGCAGTCGACGTCACGCGAACACGCCCCACACTCTGAACACCGATGAGTACCTCAGCTACGATGGCATGTTGGATTACTTGGAGGAGCTGAGCGACGCCTACAGCCAGCGTGTGCTGTTGCAAGATGTGGGCGTCACCTATGAGAATCGCACGCTGAAGACCATAACGATCACCAATGGGGACGGACGCGCCGGCAAGAAGGCAATCTTTGTGGCGGCCGGCGCACATGCGCGCGAGTGGCTAACACCGGTGGCTGCCCTGTATGCCGTGGAGCAGCTGGTGGTTAACTATGAGCTGCACGCACACCTGCTGAAGGACTACGATTGGACCATATTGCCGCTGGTTAATCCGGATGGTTATACCTATTCCCGCACCGTAGACAAATGGTGGCGGAACACACGTTCGCCCAACGGTGGCAATTGCTTCGGCACGAACATCAATCGCAACTATGATATTGGCTGGCAGCATGGCTATGAGGAGCTAACCGATCCCTGTCACGATCACTATGCCGGCAGCGAGCCCTTCTCGGAGCCAGAGACGCGAGCCGTGCGCGATATAATGCTCGATCTGGTTCGATCCGGACGTGCTGTCATGTTCATATCATTGCACTCCCATCACACAAGTGTGTTCTATCCCTGGGTCTACAAGGAGTAGGTCTATTTGCCCTTAACTCTCTGCTCGGCTTATCTAAATCTTATATTTGTCTTTCAGCTCGCCGGCGGACAATGCCCAGGAGCTACGTGCGGTGGCCCAGGTTGGCGCCGAGGCCATGCGCAAGGCAACGGGCACTGTGTTCACCTACGAACAGGTTGGCCTAACTGACACATTCGGTGGCACCAGCCTGGACTACGCCTATTCCATTGGCTTTCCGCTCTCCTATGCGCTGGAATTGTCCGGGGAACGACATGGCGACACCTTCGATTTCTGGCCACCCACGGCTCTGCTCAAGGAACTGGCCGATGAGTCGTGGGTGGGCATCAGTGCCATGGCCGAGAAGGCCATGGAATTCTATCCGCAGAACGGATCAAAGTCTGCAGCTAGTCACATTTCTTCTTCGTATAGTCTAGCGAATATCATGAAAATTCTATTGCTTTTAGCGGTTATCTCTTTATGCTCTCGCTAACATGAGTGTTGGGCAATGCTTTAGTGCGAGGCAGTGTTGGTTAAGTAACTTATTTAAGTCAAATAAAACTTACGTACTATATTCAATCTTTACTCTTGTTTGTCTTGGAAAAGAAAAACCAAGCAAATAATCAAACAAAGTGCTACTTGATGCTATTATACGAATTTGTCTAACTTGATGTGTCTTAAAATGGAATCAAAAAATGTTTATTCTAAGCTAGAAAATAAGTTGTGCCCTTAATGTATATTATTTTTTATATATAAATATATATGTCCATATGTACTTACTCATTCAACAATTTTTATCGTGGTTTCTTCAATTCCATTCGTTAGTGGGAGTCGAGAAGGGTTTCCATATAAACACATCACTAAAAGAAGAAGAGAGACGGTTGGTGTAAGAGCAAGAGAAACAACATGATTAGAATGAGAAAAACATAAAGAGAGTGAGAGATATCGAGGGACAGAGAGAGCTATTTAAAAGACATTTAGAATAAGTACCTGTTTTTCAATAACCACACACTAACATTGACGCTGCCTCATCCACCAAAGCCATGGTCATCGTTAACACCAATTTTCCTTACGCTTCCTCCTATATAAGAGCTGCCGCCGCTGTCTCTTCCTATGCTCCTGCTTTTCCAACCCGCCGACTCCTCCAATGTTGGAGCCGCTTCCTTCTACATTAGAGGTGCCGCCTCCTCCATAGTAAAGCCGCCGTTTCCTTCTATGCTCAAGCTGCCGCCTCCTCTAGAGTTGAAGTCGCCGTCTCCTCCTATGTTGAAGCCGCTTCCTCCTATAGTAGAGCCGCCGCCTCCTCTACTATAGAAGTGAAGTTTGTGCGACCTACTTGAATTCTTGAGAATCGCATAGAAGGGTACTTGTAAAAATACGTTTTCTTTTAAATTTGCTGGGGAAATTGAATTTGATCTTTATGTAAATCATAATAATACATACATACATACATGCATACATTCATACATACATATATACATACATATGTACATACATACAGACATACATACATATATACATACATACATACATACATGCATACATTCATACATACATACATATGTACATACATACATACATACATACATACAAACATACATACATACATACATATATAATACATACATACATACATACATACATACATACATACATACATACATACATACATACATACATACATACATACATACATACATAGATATACATACATACATACATACATACATACATACATACAAACATACATACATACATATACAAACATACATATATGCACTAGTTAAGCCTATGCGAGCTATTTGAATACATGAGAATCGCGTAGTAGAGCGCTATTTATTTAATATGGAGCGTGGCAAAAAGTAAGCTGCTTTTGATAAAGAGGTATAGAATAGATATTTAATTGCCTACCTACATGCATGCATGTTGACACGCTTACTTGCATGATATGGCATCGATAATCTTCAATTATTTAATAATCTATGCTCATATTAAATATCTGAACACTATCTACAGCTTAAAGTGAAGGCACTTTTATAGCAGTTTTATTTTGAATACGCAGTTTGAGCGCTCGATGCGCCATTTATATCAATTTCTGAACAGTTGGCGCCTTAACCGAAATATCAGTTGTCTCGCATTTAAAAATAATTTTAAATCCGCAACAAAACGAGGTTGGATCTGCAGTTGCTCACGTGTCGGCACACACACATCCCCCCTCACACACACACACACACACACACACACGCACACACTCGTCCACAGACAATCGGACTCACTCGTATTACTCATACGCCGCGTTGTTCGCGTGCGGGCGGCTTGTTTGCGCTGGCTATCAACGTGACTTGGCCGCATCGAAGCTGAAACTCTGGGCGGTCTCTGGGTTTCTGGCTGTGCTATCGCTGGGATTGTCTGATACATTTCACATGCTGCAATTAACGCAACAAATTGCATTTTTAATATGCAGAAATTAATGTGAAAAATCTTCCTCTTTTTTTTCACATCTCTCCTTTTTTTTTTTTTTTTGTTGCCGTCGCACAGAGTTTTATTTATAACAGTCATTGTGAAAATTGAAAATGCACAATTAAAAGTACGTTTATGTGGCAGATATGTATATATGTATATAGATATCTATCTGTAGCTGTTTTTGTGTTCAGTTGCTGACCCTTTTGCCATTTAAAATAATATGATAAAATGCCATTACAAAGTCAAAGTTGCTGGCGCTCCGCCGGCTCCAGGAAGCAACTGTTAATTAGTTTTTTCGAGTGCAGCTCTCGGACTTGCCACGGCTCGGCTTTGGCAGCTTGGCAGCTATCCATCCCCAGTGCAAATGTTTTAATTTCCGCACGAATGTCTCTAACGGAAATTACTTCAAAAAAATAAAAAGTTTACCCAATGCCAGCGATGACTCAATGCTGGATGCCGCCCCCCCTCCGCGTCAACGTTAGTATATTCAAAACAATTAACATACTCGTTTGTTCTCAATACGATTCATTTGTTGCCGAAAGAATAACACTCAGTACGTGCTAATCGCTGAATTAACGCACAAGTGTTCGGCCTGAATCCAGATGGGGGAGTGGCAGTGGGCGGTTGCGCTGCAGCGGGCGTAATTGGCCCGCAATAGATGATTAGATAAGCAGCTAATACTAGAGCCGGCGCCTATGCATTCCCGGATTAGTAGAACAGCCGGAGCCAGTTCATATTGCAAAATGCTGTTGATCGCAATAGTCGTGTTTCTGCTGACGGCCGCCTTTCGCTTTCATCGTAGCCAGGGGGCGCGTCGGGCGGCGGTCGCCAATCTGCCCGGTCCCTATTGCCCGCCCGTCATCGGAGCTGTGCATCGCATGATCAAACTGAATCCCAAGAGTAGGTATTACCCGCAGTTGATGTGACAGTGAAACGCTCATAACTTTAATTTGAAAAAAAAAAAAAAAAAATAAAGTGCATTCAAAAGTTCTATAACGCATAAACAAAAATTGGCCACAGTTATGATATTGTAATGATAATACGTCTATAAATTTTTAAAAAATTTTCAAAAAAAATCGAATTAAAGATTGTCGCACATTTCCTAGAAAAATTAACTAGAACTAGAACAAAATGCAGCTATGCATGGATCAATAATAATATTTTATTGTTCCAGTTAGTCTTGTTCTTGTTCTACAACAAACTTAAAGTTAGCAAAATCTGAGCTCATATTCGTATAAATTTGAATTTTAATTAGCCAATGTAAGTCTTCGGTCAGAGACTTCGAAAAAAAACTGGTTTAAAATTGATTTTGTAAACAATTTTCTTATATTTTCTATAACTATATTCAATCAATGAATAATTCTAGAATTGTGAAGCCTCTAATAAGATTATATTTGTTTTATGTGCATAAAAACAAGTCGAGGTCAGAGTGCACGACTGGAAGAAAGTCTAACTATTTAGCTCACTTTTATGCATGCGTACACAAAAATTCACACATAGCGAAAAATTGAAAATTTAGAAGATTTAAAGATTAGAAGAATTTCGAATTTAACCTAAAGAAAAACCAAGCTGAGATAAGTTAAGTACTTAATGTTCCTTCAATGAAGTCTTATCAAAATACCATTGATTACTGGACCTATTTATAAATGTTATCACATTGCATTGTTGTTTTGCATGCCAATAAAAATTGTTTATAAACAAACAATTGAAGCACTTATGAACCTTGTATTGTTATCGCTACCGTAGTAGCTGGTGCATGTATTTTTACGGTCTTATTAATATTTATCTATATGATTTAGCTTAATCGTCTTGGCTTACCGCAGGTTTTATAAGGGAGTCGCGCAAGCAAGTGGAGAAACATGGAAATTTGCAGCGCGTCTGGATCCTAAATCGTCTGCTGATCACCAGCAGCGATACGGAGTTCAATGAGCAGCTGCTCTTCAGCCAGGAGCACCTGGTCAAGCATCAGCTGTACCAGCTGCTGGGCCAGTGGCTGGGCAATGGACTCCTGCTGAGCCATGGCAGAGTGTGGCATCAGCGGCGCAAGATAATCACGCCCACCTTTCACTTCTCGATACTGGAGCAGTTCGTGGAGGTCTTTGACCAGCAGTCGAGCATCTGCATCCAACGTCTGCAGCAGCGAGCCGATGGCCAAACGTGCTTCGATGTCTATCCCTTCATCTGCCTGGCCGCCTTGGACATCATTGCGGAGACAGCGATGGGCACCAAAGTGAATGCCCAACTGGCAGAGAGCACGCCCTATGCCAATGCTGTGAACGAGTAAGTACTTTGGGATATTTATGCAAATTTAAGGAAATATATAGAGGCTTGATCGGATCTCGATTCGGATAACTGGTTCGAGTTACAAGAGAATACTGCCTTGGATTCGGTTCACTTTTCGAACCAAATTCGTATCTGTTTTTAAAGATCACAAAAATTATATATCTTATTCGCATGAACCAATTCATATTTAAGAATTCGTTAGGTTCTGATTACAGGTTCGGTTCACAGTTAAAATTCTCGAGTTTCTGGCTAGAATCGCTTTAGTTTGAACGCGTTTCGCAGCCTTTCGTGCATCTTTTCTTACCCCATATTTATATTAGGCAACACACTCTGACTTTCTCAACAGATGCACTGCGCTGATGGCCTGGCGGTTTATGTCCATCTATCTGCAGAACGAGCTGCTCTTCACGCTGACGCATCCGCATCTGAAGTGGCGTCAAACGCAGCTCATACGCACCATGCACGAATTCACCATCGGGGTAATCGAGAGGCGCCGCCAGGCTCTGGAGCAGGCGCAGCAGCTGGGCGGCGGATCGGAGTGCGAGAATGCAGTCGGCAGCAAGCGCCGTATGGCGCTGCTGGATGTGCTGCTGCAGGCCAGCGTGAATGGACGGCCGTTGAAGAACGAGGAGATACGCGAGGAGGTGGACACGTTCATGTTCGAGGGCCACGATACCACGACCAGCGCCATATCCTTTTGCCTGTGGTGCATTTCGCGGCATGCCAACGTTCAGGCCAAGCTGCTGGCCGAGATTTTGCAGGTGCTGGGCACGGATCGCAATCGGGCGATCAATATGCGCGATCTGGGCGAGCTGAAGTACATGGAGTGCGTCATGAAGGAGTCGCTGCGTCAATTTCCCCCAGTGCCGCTAGTGGGACGCACGCTCCAAGCGGACTTTAAGTACTGTAAATGGGCGATACCCAGAACTGGGATGACACATGCTAAGAGAACACCTTTTGCTTGCAGCACATTCCAAGGTGGGCGATGGTGTTATACCCGCTGGCTCCGAGGTGATCATGGGCATCATTGGCATGCACAATGATCCAGCTTATTTCCCGGAACCGCTGCGCTTCAAGCCGGAGCGCCACGAGAGCGGCGAACGTGCCGCGACCTTTGCCTTTGTGCCCTTCAGCGCCGGACCACGCAACTGCATTGGCCAGAAGTTTGCCCAGCTGGAGATGAAGATGCTGCTGGCTAAGATTGTGCGCGAGTTCGAGCTGCTGCCCCTGGGTGAACCAGTGCAGCCGGTGGTCAACATTGTCCTGCGCTCCGACAACGGCTTCCAGCTGGGCATGCGCAGGCGCAACGACGCCAGCGACAGCAAGCAATAAAGTCGTATTTTTAATTATATAAATGTTATTAATATCAGTTAATTATAAACAAGGTTTTCAATTGAAGTTGGATATCCAATGAAGCTTTGAATAGAGAATAGCTTCAGCTAAGCCTAAAAGTGGAATGAAAATATTCCGAGGTTCGAGCCCGAACTTGGGCTCAAAGATATGCATAATCTGATTAAAGAATCAAAGCTAGAAAGGCTTATGCCTTTCTACATCTATAGCGAGGGCACCAGCTCCAAGTATCTCTTGTGTCTAAGGAGGACTGCAGGCAATAAAACTATTTCGATACACACAATTGGAGTCCACTGTTCGAATATAAATTGTCCTCGTATACTAATCAATCGTCTTAGTTTCTATTGCCTCACGCGGCTGCAGGGCCAGTTGAAAACCGTTGCGTGAGCCGAGCGCCAGTCGCAGATTCGGACGCATTGCATCGCCATAGGGCAGCAGCTCGAACTGCAGCAGCAGCGGCGCCAGCAGCGCCTTCAGCAGGCTTAGGCTCAGCTCCCGAGCCGGACAGCTGCGCGGACCCAGGCCAAAGCTGAGCAGTTGCGGTGGCTGGGCCAGGAAACGCTCCGGCTGGAAAAGATGCGCCTGATTGCCATATTGCGGCTCAGAACGCTGCAGCTCGTAGAGATTTATGTAAACTTCTGCGCCGGCGGGCAGAGCGCCATTTCCCACCAAGGAGTGAGCTGTGAATGCAATCAAATGTGTCATGAATGTGAAGCTCCTTAGCAATTCCTGAATTGACATACTGTAGTTGAAATCCTGGCTTAGCTGTCGCCCCACAATCAGCTGTGGCGGTTGCAGGCGCAAGCTCTCCCTAAGCACCGCATCCAGATAGGGCAATCTCTGCAGTTGCCAATCCTCTGAGCTGCGTGCATTGCGCAGCTCCTCCAGACAACGTTGCTGCACGGCCGGATGACGCGCAATCAGCACCAAGGTAAAGCACAGCGTCGAGCTGCACAGCAGATAGCCCAGGTAGTTGCAGGTGTTCAGCTCGGCGCACAGTTCCGTGTCGCTCAGTTTGCCGCCTGACAGCAGCACCTCGAGCAGCGTTTGGTGCTGCAGTTTTGATGCTGGCTCAATCCGATCAATTGTTATGCCCTCGCTCTTCAACTGACTCTCGATCAGCTGCTGTTGTCTCCACTTTCCCAACATTTGTTTATTCTCATCGTTTAGAATTCGGATGAGGCGTTGCTGGCGTCGTCGCATCAGCGGAGATGCCAGCCAAAAGGTAAAGCGGTTGGCTGATTTTATGCTCAAGAAACGTTTGCGATAGATTTCTATGAGGCTGATATTATTATAAAATACATGTGAAATAGTCAACCAAACACACGGGATAAAAAACAGTTTTGAATTAAACCGATTCGAAGCCACTTTTTACCATGACCACACTTTAAGCTTCACCAATATTTATTATCTAACCTATTTTTGGCAGAGATTAAATCTAGCCCGCATCTTGTATATGAAAATAGGCAGAGCTAACTATATTTTCAGCACAAAGGGCATTTATAAAATAAAGATTGAATTGTTTTAGACAAAATTGCAGATATGTGAGAATAGTCAAACTCGTAAATGCTGAGCTTAATGAAAAATATCTTGAAAAACAACCCGATTCTTCTTATGAAACTATATCATATAGTATTGCTATCCAGATTAGAACGTTCACATATATAAGCAGCATAGTTTAAAAAGTATTTACTGGAGTTGGTCAAGATAGAGTCGAGACATTCAAACTGAGAGACTAGTTCGCATAGAAACAGACAGACGAACGGACGGAAACACGGACATATCAGACGTTTTGGGCTAGGATGTGTCTTCATACACATATGATGACAAAATTTTAATACCTTCTTCAAGGGCATAAAAAGACAAAACTCCAGCCAATTTCGAGTTGATGCGAAGCAGCAGGTTCAGGAATCAGAGCCAAATGTTCGCCCCTGGCTTGAGCCGTGAACTTAACTGATAAGGTATTATATTACAATATAACATTATTAAAATTACTTTAATTATTTTTAATATTATTATTAAATTTGTTATATTATAAAATTTAATAAATTCGCGTACTCACTCAGTAAATGCCTGCTTGTATTGCTCGCTTGGTTGCATGCCGCAGCTGGTGGCCAGCATCAGGTCCAACACGTTGCCAGACACGGGCTGCCACACATCAAAGAGCTGGCGAGTCGCGGCATATGCCTCCAGCTGTTGACAGAGTTGCACTGCCTGCTGCTGAAACAGTTTCGTAAGCTGCAACAGGTTGTCTGGGCTGGAGAGAGCGGCAAGTTGCTGATGTCGCTGTGGCCAGTGCTCCGGCTGGCACATGAGCACACCTTCGCCCAGCCAGTCGCTCATCAGCTCATGGCCCGTTTCCAGGTGCGACTCACTGTGCAGCAGCTGTTGCGCCAGCTCCCAGTCGGCAACTGGTATGAAAAGTCTGTGAAAAACCCAGCAGCGACTGAAAGCTCCATACTTGGCCAGGTAGTCGGCGCTGCGCTGAAAGAAATCTGTTGAAATAACAACTTTAGACTTCAGGCTTCAGCTAAAAATCTCTACGTACTGTTTGGTGTCAGCAGCACAATTTTGTGCATGGCGCCCATTAGGGGCCAGGTGAAGGGTCCCTTCAGATTCACCACAAAACCGCGCTGGCGACGCTGGCGAAAATAATTAAAGGCCGACGCCAGGCAGAAACACACAAAAATGCTGGCCAAGATCATGTTGTGTACTGCGAACGCAATTGGCAAATGCAAGTGCGATAGACTCTCCATGATTAGAACCGGTTTATGGCTCAACTCGTTGGGGGACATTAGCTATCTCAAGTGTTTTACGAGTCGATAACTTTTATCGCTGCCGATCAACTTTTTCCGAACTCATTTGCATTGTTTAACTTGTTCTAACTATTTATTTATAATTGTTTCCTATTGCACTTAATATATTATTCATTATTCAACAATTAAATTAATTTAATTTATAGTTATTAGGGTTTCTTTCTGGTAGTAAATAATCGAAAGGTCCTTGAAAAGGAAAGGTCTTTGATTTCCATGTGGAAATTCTTTTTAATAATGCTCGTCAGCAGGATTCATTTGACATTTAAATAAATATTTAGATAATTTTTGATGAAAGAACTAACTTTAGATTTGTTAACAGTTTTTTATATGTGATATTATTTTGTGACATTTTCTAATATTTCCCTTATTATGTTTGAAATATATGAATTCAGGCTTTTAAATGAATTTGTCGTTCTTCTGGCTAAAATATCTATTAGGTATTATTTAAGATTTAAACTTTCATTAGATGTTAATAAAATTTCCAATGTTGCTTTGGGTTTTGTTTCAGTCAGATAAGTTCCACAAAATGTTGCTAGCAACATGTTTGCTAGCCACACTTATTCAATTGCTAGCAACATTTGAATTTCCAATTAATTGAAATTTAATTCTGAACAGTCATACTTAATGTTGAAAAGCAAATATAATGCCTAAGTTGTTTTTGCAAAATATTTTAATGCCTGAATAGAATCTGTAGAGTAATCAAAATTAATGAATATATAAAGTCAGCAAGAAATCAATTTGGCATATCTATAAAGACTTTGGGAGTATGTAGAAATGCAGCTCGAAGGTATTGCAATACATTTACTTTGCATAAACAATATTTTGATTGGCCAGAACAATAGAAGATGCAATTGCCTTAGCTGCAGATACAGATACAGCTACAAATATGTACATTTGGATCGGTAGCAAATCCCACATTGATAAAATATTTAAACACTTAGCTAACATTTATTGCTGCTGCTACAGTTAGCTGCAAGCGAAATCATTTCACAACTATTAGAAGTAAGCCCAGCAATTTGGGGCTGGCCAAGAGTTTTGGCCACATGGCCAAGGGGCAGGCACGGGCCCAGGCCCAGGCCCAGGTCCAGGCCCGGCTTGGCCCCCAGCGGCATTATCAAATGGCAGCTGTTGCTGTTCAGAGCCAGAAATTTAAATCTTTTGCATTGTGGAAAGTTTTCTGTTTATGTGTATATGTGTGCTTGAGTGCGTGTGTGGGTTGTCGGTCAACCCTTTCAAGAGTCCAACTGTCAAAAGTACATTTGCCTTGGTTACGCCACAGAAATATCCTCGAAGCATGTAATGACAATATCAGCTGCACAAGCGACCCTTCAGCTCGCTCCCCTGGACCAGGACCTGGCCGCGGGGGCTTTGGGGATTTTGGCGAGGTTTGCGGCGCTGATGAAACTTTAATGGCAGAAACACGCACTCCCAGGCCAGGGCCATGTGTCCAAGCAATTTAAGCTAGGTTATACAGTGCTTTCACAGCGCTTACTCCTTGTGCACAATTTAATATCGTGTGAAATGTGATGCACATTCCAGTTGTCTAATGGCGGCTAATGAAAGCACTTTTATTGCGCTGTTCTGGGTTTGTTGAACCCCCAGGTTGATCATTGCTGTGCCCAGATACAAGCACAAATGTAAATTCATACGTCAATGTCAGGAGCAACCGAAAATGGCGTTGGCTCGCCTGCAAGTTCTGCACGTATGCAAATTAACAAAACAGCAAAAAAAAAAACAAAAAACGAATGAAATAGAAAAACATTTTCCGGCAACGGCGACAATGAAAACCTAAGCGAACAGCAAAGCCAAAAGTCTGACCGTTCTTATTGTTCTGCTTGCTTGTTGCAATGTGACTGTTGAGTGGCAAATGCAAAAAAGCAAATGGCAAATTCGTGGCATGCAACGCGGCGGGCAACGGGCGGCAGCAAATCCCTTTCACAGAGGCCTGCCGAATATCAGAGTCGCATCGTGTTGCCCGGCGAAAAATTAAAAACAAAGACATAAAAACAATTTACATTTCCATTGTTTCCCTTTGCAAGCAACACACATCAAGCAACACACAACAACAACAAGACGAAAGTCAGTTGTGCTTTAAAAAACTGTGTGTAGCTACAAGTGCACAAAAAATGCCCAGATACTAGACACATAGATACTCGCAGATACATATACGCTTATAAATTGCAAATGCAGTCGGTCAGCCGGCAAGTTAGAGACAGCAAAAGACACACGACGAGCGACAAAAAAAAAACGAACCAGGGGTACCCAAACAAAAGGGGACGGATGACAACGAACTCTGTAGTTCGCTGCAAAGACACTCGCTGACAGTTAAAAGCTAATCGCTTAAAGCTTCTTTTAAGCTATACATAAAGCTCTTATGTTCTTACTTTCATCAGACATCGAGTAATAAATAGATACTTTTTCTCAATGCATCTGAGTTAAGAGCTTTAAAAATTGATTAAAGCTTTGACAATCTAGTCATCTTTATACATAAAAGCATTAGAAGCCGCCATTTAAGCAGCTCAAGGATATAAACTGATTCGTATATACGGCAACAGCGACTTTAATTGCAATACAAATTAATGTACAACTTAAAGCTTCCTTAAAGCTTAAAGCTTTAAAGGCTTGAAACTTAGATTGAATAATTACGTTGCAACGTCGTATTAGGGTAAAAAATGAGGTTTCAAAATAAGAAATATAGGATATATTATTAAATGCATAATTATGTCTGTGAAAATGTTATATATATGTGCAAGAAAATTTTCAGCATGAGCGTAGGGCACATACATGTCGCCGTGGCTGGTGATGTGCCCGGCTGCTGCTGCTGCTGCTGCTGCTGCGGCTGCGGCTGCGGCTGCGGCTGGAGCTGTCGTTGGTGACAGGAAGCATTTTGCATGAAATGCCCATAAAAATGATATGCACATCAACGCTGTCTGATATCAATGGTGCGATAAGCGCGGAAAATTTGCTAACTTCGCAATGCTCTAATTGAGTAGAAGTTCAGTTTGGGGACATGCACGGTGCCTGCTCGGTTAATCAAGACAAACAGTAAGTCGTCGCGCTGACTGTTGTTGACTAACTACATTTTTGGCTAGACATTTAATTTGGTTGTGCGGCTAAAAGGTTGCCATCACTCACAGGCGGATGGTCTGGGGTTGCCACACCCATGCTAACGAACGCCCACATATGCCATTATGACATTGACTTTTGTCTCATTTTGGTATTTGCCGACGCCCACATATTAATTCCCAGTTGTCATATGTCAGGCAGACCCTAAAAATACAAGCTGATGCGTGCGTTATGATTACTGTCAGCGGCAGGCACTCAGACAGACTATGAATAAGCACTCATGGCACTCACTCACTCATCCGGCACTCATATCCTTGTGGGCGACTCAAGGTGCCCCGCAGCGCAACTGTGGCAACAACTTTGACTGCGCGACAATTTATCACAGCCAATTTAACCACTTAAGTGTGAAATACGTTGCCGGCGCAAAAATACACTATGCATATGCATGCCTTACATAAATATACACACACATACACACACACACACACACACATACATACACATGTATGCACATGTATATAAAATATGTAAAGTCAAGCGCTGCGCGTTTCACATTCGCAGGCACTGTGCCAATGGCCTCCAGCGGCGTCCTGAATCCAGCTGCAGATTGCCACAACGCTGACCACTCAATGCGTCAGCATGTGTGTGTTTGTGTGTGTGAGTGTGTGTGTGTATGTGTGTGGATAGGGGTGTGCCGCTGTGTGTGTTGGTGTCTTTGTATTTCTGCTGTTGGCATTTATTTGTTTACAATCTGTTTGCGAAAAGCTGCCGCAAGGCTTAAAAATCTGCATTTGCATTTTAAGCGAAGCGCCACATTTGTCTGCCACTGCCACGCCATTGTTGTGCGTGTGTTTGTGTGTGTGTGTGGCATTTGTATTAATTGAAAAAGACAGTTGCAATTTACGCATTCACATATCGCACGGGCTTGGTTAGCCAAAAAACTATAACCAATTGATTTTTATGCAAATTGACAGCATTTAAGCGTTTATTTTGCAAATCCGCTTGCCAAAATAAATCGCAGGCTGAAACTTGTGTAGCACGCGGCGTATGCGTTATATTAAATGAAAACTTAATTCATTCATTATTTGGAAATTTATGAAATATATTAAAAACTTTGTTATTTACCGGGCATCAGATTGATAGTTAAGACAGATAACAGGGAATAGTCGGATATGACTAGAAGATACACTGCAACTAGCGCAGATTTGGAGGGAGAAGCATTCGAGCTAGCTTCTGCATTTTACGCTGATTAAGCTTCATCTTTCTCCAGTTATATACACACACTATGACAAATTCCGTCCTGAATATATAGCTTCGATGTTTATAGTCCGATCTTTTTAAGCAAGGCACTGCCTTGGAACAATATTTTCTTTAAATTTTTAAGTAAAAACCAAGTTACGAAAAGTGAAATATTCTTAATTGAAGTTGGCTATGCAAGAACCTACATACTAAATTATGTGTAGCTAGCTGTTGTACTTAAATAACTATTCTATTCAGTCTCCGCTTGGAAGTCGAGAAAACATATTACATAAAAGTGTTCAGAGCTTCCGAAATCAATGCATCCTGGCCAGGAATAAATGTACTTTATGTGGCTGGAAATGCTGTCTTTTACCTGCTTCATACATTTGCCAAAAAAAAACATGTTACCCTTTTTGGCCATTTCAATTCAATTAATAAAATCTGTAATAGTATAATTAACTATCAAGGATTGTGACTAAATCAAAGAGCTAAACGCCTAAACTAACAAGCCTAGCTTTACCAATAATCGCATCTGCATTTTATGGTTATTATGCCATTAGAAATTTGGAAATTCTATTCATAGAGATCCAGCTATGCTGCCAATATTCACCTGTTCG